AAATTTCTTATAAATAAATATTTAAAAGAGTACTCTCAAAATGATAGAGTGTCACGGGGTGACACTAAGCCCTTTCTGTCCTGTCCTGTCCTGCTATATATGTGAGAGTAAGGTAGAACTTCCAGTTCTACCTCCTAGTCTTTTATGCTTTTGTGGTATAGTGGTAAAGCTTCTGAATGCTCCCAGAGGTGGTCCTGTGACATAGGGATTATTTATACTACTCTAAACTCATTGTATACTATATCTTTATATCTATTAATTTTTTTGAATTTTTTTTTTTTTTGAATTTCTATATAGATTTGAATTCAAAACTTTCAAAAGGATATATAGTTTTCTTTTAATAATTATTATTAAAAAGTTATTAAAGATTTTATAAAATTTTCAAATTTGTATATGATTCCTATACAAATTAAAAAATCGATATTTTAAAGCTCTAGATCTCAATATAGAAAAATTCTAAAAATCTAAAAATTTCAGAATAAGCTTAAATCGATCTAAATTATATATGTATAAATTTTTATCAAATTATATTATATATTGATAAAGATATTAATAGGCCTAAAAAGTGATTTTTGGTGTGAAAGGGTGGCCCAAAACCCTGGTGGCCCGAAAGTAGGGTAACCGAATTAACCGACTTAATCTCCATTTCTGGACTGCAATCCGAACCATTGGACACTCTGAGATCCCTAGTCCTGGTCACGGTCTGGCCTCGATTGCGCTTTTGATTTTGATAGTGAATGCTAAAGATGAGGGGTCAAAATATGAGTGAAATTTAGTCAAAATTGCGCCCTCAATAATCCGGTGATATAGGTGAATCAAACAGGTAATTGAGGTTATAAGTCGCTCTTCTGTCTCGAAAGTAAGATCTGGATGCATCAAAAATCAAAGTCAACCTCCCACAGTATTCAGGTTCTGACAGAACTTCGCAACGGAAATGCTTGGTATGCTTTACACAAGGACTCAGGTTGGTCACCTGAGACAGTTTATCATAGGGAATAATCCAAAAACTTGCTCTGTTTTTGTTGTGTAATACTCAGTGTCGAATTCGTGTTATCGTCTTATGTTGTAATCCAAGTTATCCGATTTCCAATTTTTCTTATAAAAAATACTATAGTTATCAGATGAGTAGTGTTTGGCTCCAGTGATTCCGCAAGTCGGAAACCTCGTAGAATAGTTACCCATATCGGTCGTTCTTTCATGATGACTAAGTTTACGAGGATTATGTTGCCCCCCCCCTCTCCCCCAAAATCAACTATAGCATTTTTGGAAAGAAAATTATTGCAGAACACGATGCGTGGTAGTTTGAGTGGTCGCATTAAGATTGTTGCGTGGGCAGCGCGGAGACGAGGGTAGACACGTGAAAAGAAGCGAAAGCGATATTTCGCGATACTGAAAGCAAGTACTAGGTAGACAGGTATTCACTGGAGTATTCTTCGCCTCCTTTACCTGAACATGTGAGAGTCCTAGATTAGCAATAATTGGCTCAGCCTTACAGTGTATACAAATCAGCCTCGGGATCCAGTCACGCTTCGCAAGTCTCATATTCAATCGGTTGAAGCCAAACTATGTGTATATAATTAGCGCTCCGAGTCGCAAAAAGAGGTCTCAGCAAAGCAACCAGGCGTTTGCTGAAGTAGCAGAATGTTCTGGTGTGTATTAGTGAAGGCTGATTATTATACAACGCATCCGTATGTGATCAGCAGTAGTGAAAAAACGACCAATATGCTGAGTCGATATTACAGAATTGAGGAGCTGGATAATGGCCTTAGAATGATGAGTTCTGGTTAATTTCCTAGAATCAAAGATGAGATGACTATAATTTGATAGTGAAATTTTGTCAGAGTTGTTAATCCACCAGGGAGTGGAAGGATTGACGGGACACTTTCCAACTTTCGATATTTTTTTTAATAAATTCATTCTTCACTTGTTTGATATCAGAACTTAAGTTTTTGTTGTTCCATTTCTAATTAATGATTGTAAAAAAAAATTCCAGAATGAATGATTTTATATATCAAGAGATATTCACAAGTCCATTTTTGCAGTGTTCCGTTAATCCGTACACCCACTGATGGTCTAGTTACCAAATCAATCGGAGGGCTTGTGGCATTTAATCGTCTAAAGGCATTCATCTATTAGCATCATAGAACGTAAGATGTAGACTTATACTACCGTCTAAAATATGCGACCGAACTATACATGTTGTCGTTATGTTCTCTAGTTCTCGCTTCACTGCCCATGGGACCACAGTCGTAGAACTAAATCTAGAATAACATTTTTGCCCATTTTTCCACCAAATTACCGCAGCATGCAATAAATCCTGTGCCAAATTCTCATCATTGCTATCGTAGAGCTCAACGTTGACAATTGTCTGAAAATTGCTGTGGAGATCAACGCTCACTTTTGTGTTGAAAAGACAATGTCATTACGTCACATGATATATCTGGAGACCAAGCAAAGTCTGGTGCGCTAAAAGCCTTAGCTCGATAATTTGTACTGGCAGACCCTTCGCTTAAACGAACTAAGGCCCTTAGCTTGAAAGATTCCACGCTAATTCCCGGTCCTCCACACACACTCAAGCCCTCTCCGGGTTTTATCAATCTATTACTCACTTATTAAGCGGCCTCAGTAGCTTAAGGTTACTAGTACACTTGGCCTATCAGATGGATTGAAGTGAAATCTCGCTAACAAATGCTTAACCGGCAAGAATCGAATCCTAGAACTGCTCGAGCTACCTAAATTTTCTTTTGTAACGTCATGTACAATTCTACCACCTAGATACACAGGCTGATGTACAGAATGCGACTTCATATGATGCCAAGTATGATAGAGTTTATCGCTTCTCCATTCGTTTTCAATCGGGCACAAAGACATACAATGTCACGCTGATAAAGTTTGACGTATAATTATCAATAATCCGCACTTATTGGGCCACTTACCTGCAGAAAGATCATATTTCCGTCAAGAAAATTTACTAGCGAAATCAAATCCATCTTCAGAGGGGTGTTCACAGCAACGAGTGTTATGAGTAATTACCATGGGAACCTCATAACATGATAGGTTTTCTTCAAATTACTAACTGAAGCGGCAATCCAGACAGAAGCGTTGATCATACTTTGAGTACCAGTTTCTGTGTGATAATTTCAAGCGGATTCATTATTGGTGGGAGAATGGTGTAATGATTTCTTGTTCGGGAAGGGCTAATATGGCTGTCACATACAGAAAAAAAGATCAGAAAAAGACATAATACAAATTCCCTACATGAAGCATTAAATGTGAAAGAAGAAAATTACTTATTAAATATTTTGAAAAGAAAAAAAGAGAAGAGAAAATCTAACAAACCTACTTACCAATCTATCTTCCCGAATAAATCTTAGGATTGAATAGTTATATATGCAGGTCTTGGATCACTCTTAGCCAAACAATAGATCAAACCCAAAAATTATCAACCCCTCCAGAAAGTTTTCTTCGAGAAAATTTCCTCCCACCACCCTATCCTCTTCAGGTACAACTAAACCCCCCCTGTTTTCCCCCTCGCCTTCGCTAGTTCTTTTTGTTGCCAATCCGTCAAAAAAGCATATTCCTCTTGTCCCGCTGAACCTGCGGACGCAGCGATGCGATATCATTATGATTAAGGAGCCGGGTATATACAACGGTGCTAATTTCGGAGCATTCACAGGACGACGACGGAATCCTGGCGGAGGAGATGAGGATCGCGGGCCGGAGGTATATAATCCATATAGCCTTCATCGCATGTGATGCAACCCGTGCGACTATGTGCTGGCGCTTTTTTGTTTGGTATTCCGGGTTGGTGTAGCATTTTGAGGGCATTTGGGAGGGGGAGTGGGACGTGAGTTTTGGAACATGGTGCTGATTGACTGATACTCTTTAGTTGGAGATGAGTTTGGGCTTACCTGTTTGTTTTTTTGTTTTTTTTGAATGATTGGTTGGAGGAAATGTGTATAAGTTACCACCAGGGTAGACTTTTCAAATGTAATTGAGGTTGGAAAACGAAAGTTGGAATTGCGAGTGTAATGAAAGTGCTGTTCTGTAGATGGCTGTTCTTTACAATTGGATTGTTCAGGAAACGTTGTTCGGCTATATAGCTGGCCATTCTTTGTCCTTTGGATAACAAAGCTTCTTGGCAATTTGAACGCAGCTTAAAGACTTCTTGTGCGAGACACATGATTCGTTCTATTTTGGAAATAACAATTGCATTGTCCGGTCATGTCCTTTGTTACTTTGCTCTCGAAAAGAAAGAAGGTACATTCTTTGTCTTTGGGGTAATAATGACTGTCACTGAGAAGAAATAATAGGTCGCAAATCCCCAAGATACTTTGGTACTTTGTAAGGCAGAACAATGCTTGAACAGATGAAACACTGTTCCTACAATATACTGCCCTCCATCCCCCCCCCCCCCCCCCCCCATTGAAGTCTCTTCTTCATTTTTCGAAATCCTTCAATAAAACAAATAGAAACGCTATTCCTACAATATACCTTCATTCACCCGTTGGATTCTCTTCTTTTTATTTAACAATAACCATACATTACTTCCTTCATTCCTCCTTAAACCGAACTTCTTCAGTATCAATTCAACATGTGCACCCTAAACCCTCACCTTTTTGCCCAACCTGCTCCAAGGTTGCGGCTCCATCTCGAGTCGAGAAATGCGCTGACCGATCCGACGCATCCCACACCCCCAGTACAGCCAAAATCACTGCCATGAACCCTTGCATTCGATGCAACAATCGCAACAAGCCATCAAATCCCACCAGGGCCCTCACTCGAGACATCCTCGAAGACATGTGCTTGAAAATTCCAGAATGGCATCCTACAGCACCACAGGAGCCCATTCCCGGGATCCTTCCAAACTGGAACTCCGAAACCTTAGCTCGCGCTCAAGATGAAGAACTCTTTTTCGAACACGTCACACAAAACACAGTGTAGAAGTCAAGAATCGACAAGATTTGCCAAGTCAACGCAATGGATTCCCGTTGTGTTTGATGGCTGGAATCAAGCAGAGACTTTCACCTGCGAATCAACGACTTGAGAGATCACGACCAGAGAGATCAAAGTTTACTTCACCTCCACTATCATGGAACAACAACCCTAGGACTAGACGACTTGGTGTTGCACCAGCACCACAAGCTGCATCACTTCAAACAGAGTCTACACCGTCGGGAACACTTAGTCGTTTGGTCCCAGGCGAAACCCATCAAAGAAGTCAAGCTCAAGAGGAATCTTCCATCGTATCTTCAGCACTCAGACTCCAGATCCCACCACAGAGGCCATCTTCCATCGAAACCCAAGATACAAAATCCACCCCTTCATCAGGCACATCCACCCGTTCCGAATCTCTCATCCAGACAGAGACATTCAGCCCCATAGCCTTCGCTCAAATCCCCGCGCATTACGACATGCGACGAACTTCCATTCCGACACCTCGCGTTTCCACAACCCAGCCGCGAGTCCAAGCACGCGAACAACACGAGACTATCGACCGAATGTCTCAACGCACTCCAGAAAATCAAGAAGAACTTAAACGTCAAAATCTCGAAAGCAAGCGAATGCGTGAGTTGCAACAACGCAATGTCCAACCCGAACAGAGATCGCACTCTGAAAATGGGCCGCCACGACATGTCAATGATGTAGAATTCAAAAGCGTACGACCCAAGCGTAGCTTGAGATTGCTTCCGAGTCTTCCATCGTTTGGTTCATTGCGGTTTGATGTTTGATTGACGACGTGTGGGCGGTATGTATCTCTAGTGAGCTGGTTCTCACTATCATTATCCCCTTCCACTCGGGCGTTTATAGGTTCTCTTGCAGTATTGTTAATACAAATCGAGAAAAGGTAGGGCCTTGGACCTGGAGTAATGCATTGTAACATTTCCTATAACAAAGAAAATACCGTTATTCTTTTTTTTTCTTTTTTTTCCTTTGTCTCTCATCTTTGTCATTGCCATTTCCCATCATCACAATATACAAAACACCAAGAATAAATAGATTATAGGCTCGGGCCCTAGAGATAAAGAAGTAATATTTCTCATGAAAAACTAATTTAACCAATGAAACTATAATATCATGTCTATGTTCAAAGGTGTTCCCATCCGCTGTGAACGCCGTGCTCCTATGATACTCTCATCTCATTATTCACTTCCCCCTTTACTTGTTATCTCAAACTTTTGCTGCGTCAATTTCTAAAGGTACAGCGTTTGCAGTACGTAACCATTCTCCATTAAATGCATTGATAAGCCAGTTATTAAGTTCTGCGAGTGGAGTGGTTAGCATTTGAATAAATCACATGTAACAGGAATTACTTACTATCATAAACAATTCTGTTGGCGTTATGGAAATAGATAGAATGATCGCTGTCTGGGAAAACATGTACGTCGTAGTTTTCCACACCGGCAAGGTCGAGTTTGTCCAACAAAGTGAGTGTGTTTTGCATATGAACATTGTCATCTGCGACACCATGCATAATCAAGAATCGAACATTCTTAGCGAGTGACTTTACATCGCTAATGCTGGTATTATCATATCCGCTAGGGTTATGTTGTGGTGTGTGCATATATCGCTCCGTATAGATAGAATCGTAAAATCTCCAATCGGTGACGGGCGCAACTGCCATGCCATAAGAAAATGTTTCTCCAGCATCTTCTTCCAATGTCTTTAATGTCATGAAACCACCATATGACCAACCCCAAATAGCCATTCTCGATTCGTCGACATACTTTTTGCTAGCCCAGATTTTGGCAGTTTCAATTTGATCGCGTGCTTCATAGTGACCAATATTGCCACGAATAATGGTTCGGGCTTTTCTTCCAATGAATCCGGTTCCACGACCATCGACAGTTACGACAATGTATCCGAGGTTTGAGGCAATGTAGGATTCGAAATCAACACCAAAGCTCTTGCTAACAGTTTGAGATCCGGGGCCACCGTAAAGGTAAAACAATACTGGATACTTCTTCTTTGGGTTGAAGTGTGGTGGTCGACGTTCTACGACTTGCAATTCAAATCCATCAATTGTAACAGTCTGGTAGATTAGAATAGGCAATTCGTGTTTCTTTGCCATATCAGCTAGTTCTTTGTTCTCCTCAATGACATGTGTGTATTGGTTATTGTTGCTGGGAGTGCTGATAACTTTCTGCCATGGAATATTTGGGCCATTGTAGTTAAGGAGTACGTATCCAGCACCCTTAGAAAATGAAGCACCATAATAACCTTCCGTCGAAGTATCGGTGATAGCTTTCATATCCGTACCATCTAGTTTCACGCTATATAATTGTCTTGTAATCGGTGACTCTTTAGTAGAAATGAAATAGACAAGATTGTTCTTGAGATCAACGGCAGAAGGCGCTTTTACTACTTCCCAATCTCCAGATGTAAGAAGTATAGGTTCAGGATTATCCATTGGCGTGAAGTATCCCAAATGATCATAGTTCTCGTGAATGATAGTATCAATATATCCATCGTGAGGACGACCGTTTGCAGGATCCGCAGGAATATAGCGAGTGTCTTCAGAGACTTCAAACCATCCACCATCGAGTTTTGCAATGTCTGTGAATCGTACAGTCTTTCCCTCTCGAGCCACAACATCAACGAGAACAACTCGCAAGATGTCACTTTCTCTGTTCGTCTCGCGGATCAAAGCCTTACCTGTCGATCCAGCCCAAACTACCTCTGTAATCAAAAGGTCCTTTGGCTCAAAGCCTCCGGCAATCTTGACCTCGAAGACTTCTGCCTTGGAAATATCATAAAACAAAAGATCGACAGTAGGATTTGGAGCACCGGCTTTAGGGTATTTGATTTCTCTGACTTCAGGATAATTTTCTTCTCCTGGTAAAGGATCTTTCCCACTAGGTCTTGATACAAAGTATTGAACTGGGTATTCAGGTACCTCGGATTCATTTGTACGAAGGAATGCAATATAGTTGCCACTGTCGTCCCACCATGTTGCACTGGCTCCAGCAAAAACCTCTTCTTCATAGACCCAATCAGGTACACCATAGAAGAATTCTGGACCACCATCCACGGTTATTTGTACAACAGTTGGTGAAGCTAGTTTTCGAAGGTACATATTGTTATCTCGAGTGAAAACGATGGCATCACTCTGTGGACTCCAGCTGGCCAATTGAACTCGGCCATCTAAATCTACAGGATCTAATGGTTCCGCAGTTTGAGATTCGACATCGAAGATCCAATATTTCGCATAAAAGGAATGTCTCCAGTTTGATTGAACATCTGTCGCGACCAAAACTTTCTTCAAATCCTTGCTAGGGTATACTTTGCTTGGTGTCAAGCTTCTCCCCGCAACTTCAAAATATCCATTCTTCATCAAAGTCATCGTGTCTAGAGTCCCTACAGCTGAAGGGCTTTGTGTTCTGACATCTTCCACAATCAAATAATCCTTTCCGACGGAACCTTGTTCGAGAAGTAATCCATCCTCCCCGTTGGCTCCTTCAATCCAACTTATACTGTGTTTAGTCGCTCTCCATTGACCGCCCATAACCTGATCCATTGTAACCTTCTTCCCGCTTCCCCTCGAGGAGGTCGCCTGTGGATCGTGAGGACTTTCCGATGAATGTTTGTATGCCTGTTTCCCCAAAAATATAAACAATGCCAGCACCCAGGCTCCAATGAACACTCCCCCGATAATCCATATCAATCTTCTCAATTTCTTGTCGACTGACTTGTTCGTTGATCCATTTGTAAGAAATGCGCCATCCTCCATATCATAATCCTTCTCCTCTTCCTCATCTAAATGTATTTGCGTATGTTCATCATCCGCATACGCCATCTCTCCTCGAGGAGGGAACTTGGGTGTCACCATCGTCGGTTTTTCAGACCCATTCGCAGCAACACGTTCGCCGATTCGATCGAAGACCAAACTCGTAGTCGAAGCAGTCGAGGCGATAGAATCAGATGAATTACGGGAGACAGACTCCTGCTCTGTTGACAGGAGCTTTGCGTTTTCTTCAGGATGCCCAGCCATATCTGAGGGTACGAGAGTTTCAGTGGGTCTTGGAGTCCAGAGCTACGCCAATACCATATATAAAATTGTATCAATTCGAGATGCACATTGCTTTTGAACAATCTTAAAAGATCTAGAGTGGCCAATAGTTGAAAGAGAGAAAGAAGACTGAATTGTAAAATTTATCTATTGAGGACAGTATTAGGAAGGGTTCTAGAAATCGCCTTTGTCAATATGTTGATGACTGGCTTACTAGTGTTCAGCTTCCCCAATACGTGGAGTCCGACACTTATCGGGTACACACCCAAGATCATCCATGTAATCGTGCCAATTCCACAAAGATTACCAAGATCTTCCTTATGTTATGTAAAAGCCTCTTGAGTTTCACGATATGTTGAATTCCCATAGAATTCAAACTGCGATTATATTTTTGTTACAAAGGACGATTTCTCCGGAGAGCGAAACAAAGAACACGTTCTAGTATGTTGAGTTCTGATGATCCGGTAAAGCACTCAATGAATTATTTACCTTCTTTACAACAGATGCTATTTTTGGAAAGTCATGATGATTTGAGATATTGGCTGAAATATTATAAATCACTTTGAGGAACGGAAAGAATTAAAGTAAGCTGAAGGTATATTTGAGCTGAATCTAATCCCCAACTCGATGTTGTAAAGCTTAAACAAAATATCAAACATATGATTAATATAATAAATTAGGACCATGACCCAAGAGATAATCTAATTCTACACCAGGTATTTGTCCCATGAATACTAATAATGGTATAATATGCAAACATACAATCTCCAATCTATGACCTGCTCGCTTGCTCCCATACCATTATCTTATACGCTTCCCTAGACATCCTCGACCTTCATACTAAACGGTATATTCATCGTTTGTAGACACAAGCCCAATCATTCCCGAAATCCTTTATTTGTTATGTATGATGAAGTTCCTCAAACTATCCCAAGTATCGCTCTGCACATAAATATAATCCATACTACTCCTTAACCCACTCTGCACCGTCTCTGGGTACCATCTGAATAACCACATAACACTTCCCCAACTCAGTGCTGCAAATACTGGCCATGCGTCGTTCGATATGCGATCTGCAAGCTCTTTATTTCGGATGATTCCCGCTGAAGGTAGAACAGCTAATTGTGCTAATGACAAACATACTCGTGCGAATACTGTATGCGCCGAAACATTAGCATATCTTTTGAACGTAGATTATTGGAGACCCGATTGGAAAGGAGAAACATACCGAATATCACAATCTGTTTGCTAACACTGCTAACATGCCCTTTCTTTGACCTCCTTCCAAATACCACATACCCACCTAATAGTCCTGCTAAGAATGTATCCCAGTTTCCCTCCTTCCCCTTATTGCCCCCTGAGTATTTGAGTGCTAACATCGTAGTCTTATATATCGTAGCATATTTCGCGAGATTTTGCGCATGTGTTCGCGTTGCGCGGAGTATCAGCCCTATCTTTTCACGGACAGTACCAGATCTGAATAGGAACATCATACTAGAATATGGATTCAGTCAGTTATGCGCCTAAGAATCGGTAAAGGCGAACCAAAAAGGGGGGACCTACACCAATGCATGGGGAAATCTGACTTTGGCACCGTAGACAGCGCCGCTGCGAGCAGCTTTAAGAATAGCGAGAAACTCGGCATTTTTGGGATCGAGAATGAAGCTCTCAAGTGCTGTCTATATTTTCGCATCAGTATATTGCAAAAGTTATTATGAGAACGGTGGATAATTACCTTTATGACAGCAATTCTTCCCTCCATCTTACCGGCACAAAAACGAACCTCGGTAACTTAATACTCCAATTCCAGCAATTTCCTTGAAGAGAAGAAAGAAAGAAGTGATAAATATTATCTCTGTACCTTCACGTGTATCTATTCAATCCAGTAGTCAAATCGCAGACGTATTGTCAAAGAAATAAAGTCAATGAAGCAAAAAGTAAACTCAGGAATGAAGCTCGGCATGTTTATGGGGATGAACATGAATTCGGATATCCATTCGCTACCCCACAGACTTTCATCCATAGTTTACCGGGATTCATTTAGCGTCCGCTCAGGTCCGCAGGGTGGAAATATTAACATGTGAGATTCAGGCATTCAGACATTGATGCCTCATGGAATAATTTCGGCGCTAGTGCTTTATCTATTATCGGATCGCAAAAAAAAAGTTCGAGCTTGGAGAAGAAGTAAAGAAGGCATTTGTTAATATCTTCATTCCCTTTGAACAATCACATAATACCACATAATATCAATTCATCATGTTACGTCAAATGTAAGTACTTTTAATTCTCCTTTCAAATCCAATTGAACTTTTTATGTTAACAGATTCTACTAGCAAACCCCGTAATGCTCGCAGCAAGCGCGCTCTCACCAAAAAAGCACCCAAGCCAGTCGAGAACCCAAAAACCGCTCTCTTTCTCCGTTATACAACATGTTCTCAACCTACTCAAGACTGCCTCACAGATCTTCATACCCTTCACTTACCTCTCGCAAAGAAATTCACCAAGAAGAATAGTATTCATCCATTCGACGATCCTTCTTCCCTTGAGTTTTTCTCCGAGAAGAACGATGCTTCCCTCTTAGTTTTCGGTTCCTCATCTAAGAAACGCCCACATTCTATTACCTTCTGTAGAATGTTCGATTATAAAGTTTTGGATTTGTTAGAGCTGAATCTTGATGCGGATTCGTTCAGGACTTTAAGTCAATTCAAGAACAAGAAATGCGCCGTCGGATTAAAGCCTATGATTTTGTTCTCGGGTACTCCATTCGAGAGCCCCGTTTCCGACGAATATACACTTGCGAAATCGATGTTCCTCGACTTCTTTAAGGGAGAGCCAGCAGACAAGGTGGATGTGGAGGGTCTTCAATACATCGTTTCCATCTCGGCCAGGGATAGCGTAGACGGAGAGGAAGAGAAACCAAAAATCCATCTCAGAGTATACTTGATAAGGACCAAGAAGAGTGGTCATAAGTTACCAAGAGTTGAGGTTGAGGAGATGGGACCAAGAATGGATTTCAGAGTTGGCAGAGTCAAGGAAGCCGATGAGAGCATAATGAAGGAGGCAATGAGAAGAGCAAGAGGAAGTGCAGAGAGACCAAAGAAGAATATCACCACGGATATTGTTGGTGACAAGATGGGTAGAATACATCTTGGTAAACAAGACTTGAAGGAGTTGCAAACCAGAAAGATGAAGGGATTGAAGAGAAGCAGAGATGTAGCTGATGATGATGAGGGTGGGGACGATGATGAGGATATTGTTAGTGATGACGAGCCTGTGAAAAGGTCAAAGAAGGCATGATTCATTGCCACTCTGTGCAGTAATATCAAGATATCAGGTGTTTGGAGTTTAGGCATGGAAAAGGGTCTTCCGCGAAGAGTGGTTGGTTGTGCTCAAGTATTAAATGTCAGATTACATAAAAGCTAAGCATTGTAACTTCCACCAAACTACTGCTTTCATTGTGTATATTTCTCTGAGTCTATAAATACCGATTTCAAACGCTGCAGGTGCTATCGGTAGCCTTCAATTTGTACTTCCCATTCGTCATCGACTTATGATCTTAACAGGAACTACGGCAGAACCTCACATCTTACAAAACCATCTTAACTCGTATACCTTTCTTTAAGCGTGTGATACATTTCTTCCAAGCTTTCGAGACTCACAGACAGTCCCCGTTGCTAATCCGATCCGCATCTTCAAAATCAGAGTGCTTCATCACATAGTTTCTACCTGCACCATTACTCAAGTACACTACACATAATAAAAGCAAGTAACAATCCCAGGGGGAAAACAGAGGAACAGGAAAACATACCATTACCGAGAATAGGAAACAACGTCCTAGCCAAACAGGATGACAAGCTCACACAAACTATTCTTTGAGAATCAGAGTGATATCTTACGAATAACATAGCAAGTCTATAGAGGTACTTGGAAGTTGTACGCCTGGGTACAGAGAATGGTAGAGTAAAAGGAAGCTCAATGAGACGATCCCATACTACGAATATGATACTCAATTTACCTTGCGATCTGGAGAAAAAGCTAATATGGAAACACAAACCGGGGGGGCCTTTTGGTAGCCACTTGAGTTAGGTCATTGTAGACACTCTAAAGTCTAAAAGAACATTTTATTGCTAGGTTCAAAAGAGTCTTGACATGGGAGCGTTAAGAAGCTATGAGGCCATTAAATTGTTAGGTTTTGATTATACAACATCCGACGATACTCATCGGGCATTTCAATTAGAGATAAAGTCTGGCGAGGAATCATCACATCTTCATTGATACATTGAGGGAGGAAATTATGCTGAAAATGCAAAGATTATGGGTTCATGGCCGCGTAGAAAATCAAAGAAGTGTAGTGATTGGTAAAGATAGCTAATCTGGCGAAATACATGTTTTAAGAATCCCAAGCAAATGTCCACCCATTTCCATCAACTTAATCCGATGCTACGTGTTCGGGGAGTTTGAGAGATTTGCACTTCCCTTCCTCTTCGGCCTCATGGATGTGATACAGCTCACAATACTGATTCTCGGAATCTAAGAAGGTGTATTTCACTCCTACCTCCGGATTCATTGCGAAAGCTTTGAATATTTCGAAGAGAAAGTCCGCGCAGTAGTCTTTTGGTTCTGGGGCCAAGTGCTTAAACATAGCCCAGTTCTTAAGACTACAGTTGACGACAAAAAGACGAAGCTTCGATGCTGCTGGGGAGTTGTCAAAAATCGAAGTTATATCGCGTGGAAAGAAAAGTTGGTCGTTGGTGACAGTTTCATAAACAAAAGAATCAATGAGATCATTCTGGAGTCGTGGCATTTGGTATTTTTCGGCCAAATGGTAGACACCAGCAAGCCCTATCATTGGTATTCCCGTATAGTCATGCGGATAGACAATTTCATTGTTGTAAATCCAATAGACCAATGACGCAAAATATATTGGGTCGTCTTCAGGTAGCTCCATGGTGGCATCTCCTCCCTTTTGCCACTCAGGTTTCAAGCCAGCCTCAAAAACGGGACTTGCTGCACAGAGAATATCCTTGTGAACAATAAACGTCTTGGATCGTGTTTTGGGTCCAACAATCAACTTCACAGTTTCGGAAAATGATCTGTAGTCGGAAGTTAGTATGTATAACAAGTTATGAATTATGATTTGAGAAAACTCACTCAATCAAACGTGTCTTTTTGTACGGACGCATATCGACTCCGCTAATTCTTCTCTTGGCAGTAGAATCATTCTCAATGGCCTCAGTTGATTCAACGGGTTTGGTGTTGACAGTCTGAAAGCTCAATGTCAGCTTTGAAGTCACTGCATAAAAAGCTTAATACTTACTATGGAATCTACGGGTTTGGAAACCTTCTCAACATCACCAAATATCGAATGGTTACGAGTTGGAGTCAACTAGAAACCTTAATGTCAGCTTCAAATCCTCGAATGAAAACACCAACACTCACTGTGGATGTGTTTGGCGAAATTGAGCCGTTTCCAGCAGGACGAGACAGCTTAAGAACTGGCGGCGTGGTATTTCTGCTTGCAGACCTGCTTCCAGTTCTACTTGGTGGAGGCATATTCATTGTATCATCGGGAAGATCCAACGAAGCAGAACGATACATGATTTAGATGATGAAGTATCATGCAAATATTCGAGAGATGAGATTTGTAGATTGGACGATAATGGACAAGTAATAATGGAGATAGAATGATAGATGGTGGATAGAGAATGGAAGAGATGAAAATTAAACATGAAAACCTTCCACGGTCAAAGGTGTAGGTAATGATCTAGCGTGACTTCTGAATTGAGAGTGAAAAGTGAAGTCGAAAATGGAAGGAACGTCTGGATCACTCATGTGACCTTGTATACACACCTTCAGAAAATAACAGAAACCTACCGTATATTTCTCAAGTACGGACGCATTGACAAAACTGTGATGTAGAAGATGGGTTTATATAATTAGCCACTTATCAGTGACATGAAGTAGCATGAGAGAATTAACTCGCGCCCGATTTTCATAACTCCTGTCCCCAGAAGGCGTGCATGTCTTGACTCGAGTTGTAGGGTATCTCTTGCATGTATTGTGTACGATCAAGGACCGTTGACTTCAACAGGAAGTACTTCTGCTAATCAGATACTCTAGGCCAACTATTTGATTTACACCCTCACGCTTTCCAATAATCTCTGTTCTACGCCCTCTAATGTACTCTTGTGAGCCAAGACAGATAAATTCTCAGCCTCGCCTTGGAATTGCTTGTCGGGGTCTACACCTGGTCCGAACATTTGTGCACCTGCCCCTGGACCCATTTGACCCATTTGTTGGGCCATTTGACTTGCAGCTATGTTTACTTAGTATTGCATCTTATCATCACACTCAGAGAGGATCAACATACCATTATCGCTTCCCAATAGATAGTTGAATACAGATTGTAATCCAAAGATACAAAGAACATACCACGAAATGGAAGACATCCATTGTGGATCCATATCTCTGGTAGCTACACCAGCTTGCAACATACTCTTGAACTTAATCGTCAATGGGAATGGCAATTTGACTATACGTCTCATATTAGTACATCTAGCCGCCTGATACCTCCAGCAAGCAACTCACTAATAACAAATCCACTGAAAAATGCATTGATCCATCCCATAATCAAAGTCTGTGGGATCATCATAGACATATTTCCCTTCATCATGCCCATCATTCCCTCCATAGCCGCTGGATCAGTCATTGGATTTGGAGCTGCTTGTCCCTTCTTCTCTGGCTCCTTCAAGAACTTTCCTTCTTCGAAGGCTTGTACGATATAGTCTCTGCGTGGTTGGAAAGAGGCGGGAGTAAGAACATGAGCGTTATTACGAAGGTTGATACCTCGAAGTAAGGATCGTTGTTCGCGAATAGCTGGAAGTTCTTGTTTTTTGGGAGTAGTGGCCATAAGAACGGTAGCATAGTGACGAAGGATACCAGTCAGAATCTGAATGATGAGTTAGGATGGCAGATCAAATATCAGAAGAGTAAGAATTACATACCATAACAATAGTAATAGGTATCAAGATCCAGTAGCTACATGTTTGTCAGCTCAATCCAACATGGAAAATGGCGATTTGCTCACAATAACTGGGGATCCCTATGGATCGTCTGCACAGGAACCTGTGCCATCTTTGCAATATCTTCCTAATCTATTTTGTTGGAGAAGATTATGTATGAGGGGTTGTCGCGAGTTGAATTCTACCTAGATCTGTGGTTGAATCTGACATCAAATGTGGCTTTCACGCTAACCTCGGACCCTTGCGAGTAGAGCTTCATCAAGACACGGTCTCTTTGTGTACATTGCGACAACAGCTTTCCCCTCCACATAATTCTGAAAAAGAACAAAAATCAACCATGGCTTCAGAAAGAATATCTGTACATTCTCTCCCTGGTCAGTATATACATCTATTTACAAAAAGTGTTCAAATATTAGAATACTGACAATCAATTCTAGATCTCAAAAACACCTCCGACGATGCTCTCCCCACCTACCTAAACTCCCTCAAATTCACCCAGTCACATACTCTCTCTGATGCTCGTCTGGCAATTGGTTATACATCTGTCTTAGTCTGCGGTGCCTGTTTCTACTGGGACTACACCTATGGTTTTGAGCCTACAAAGTCCTATACAGCAATTGCGGTTGGAATCTACTTTATCCTCAACACCTTCCTTACCTTCTGGTTATTCTATGTCGAGAAAGGAATTATATATATCGGCACATCTCCAGACAAGAAACACATCATCGAAATCTCTACTCAAACTAAAAAACATCAACCAATTTATAACTTAACATTCAAGATATATGAAGCGGCCAAAGGCAGATCCGGACAACCAAAGGAAGAGAGAACCTTGAGAAAACCTTTTAGAGAATGGTTTGATGTGAAAGGTCATTTTATTGTACAACCATTCCAGGAGATGTTGGCGAGTAATATCTCAGTGATTGGAGCTGTCGATCAAAAGAGAGTGGTTAAAGATGAGAAAAAGGTTGAGCAAGAAGGCCAAGCAGATCTAAGTATGGATGACAAATGGGCAGCATTATTGAAGGAGAGTAGTGGTGATGTTGAGACTTCTGGGACAGAAAAGGCAGCTGGAGGAAAGAAGAGAAGCAAGAAGATTTGAGGAGGTTGCAATATGGATCGGTGAGTGAAAAAAGGGTTTGGTATCGTCAGTTATGGAGTTTGGTGGGACTTGTAGAAGTCAAGGGAATCTTCGGCTGGGATGTGGAGTATGAGAAGAGTATCACATCTAACAAAGTATCCCCAAGCTTGTTCTTTCTATGTATTTGATCCCCCAACTTAATGCCCTTATATTCAAATGCATTATGAACCGTTTGTCATCAACCTATTATATCAATCACCTCACTTTATCTTTCATACTTTCCTCCCTGAAACTTTCTTCTTGTCCTTCACTATGGGTGTTTATACTGTCTAGATATTTGGAACTCCTCACATTCACCTCCTTCTGTTCTGTTTCCTTGCATAGAGTCTCAAAACAGTCCTCAAAATCGCAGCTCGTTTCGTCTTCACAAAATAGACCGTTGACCTCTGATACTGCCCCATCCTCGAGTACTCGCTCATCGCAAACACATCATCTTTTATTTCCATAGCCTTCTCTTTCTTCACCTGTGTGATCCTCCCTATCCTCCAAAGATTCTCCAATGTTTTCTTTAACTCTCTTCGTCCGTCTTCGACTTTTCCTTGGGCTCCATTTCTTATCAATCTTCACTTCAGCTCACTCGAGACAGGGTTTCAATACTTGGAAATTACGAGCCTGAGAACTGACCTTCCACATCATTTGATGGTAAAGAGGGCAAATTGACTTCTTTCCTTGGATCATGGAGGCGGCTTAAAATTTACTAGACTTTTAGCTCTCCGATACTACAAGCCTGCCCCTCTTGTATTTCATATTGTCTGTCATGGTTTGAGCAGTCCCTTGCCTTTCTTACTGCGCTTGCATGTCGGTGTAGGAGCCTTATGTGCCCGGTAATTGTTTAATATTAGTTCGTTTTTTTTTTGAGCAATCTATCATCATCTTTCCATATTTTGCTTCCTATTTCTTTTTCATCGTGAAGAAATTGTCTTTGCCGGTATGATCCTAACCTCGAAAGTCGCTTTTCTCTCAATGTCTGTACTTCTTTCTTTGATTATTGGCGCCTGGCGTCATCTTTCTTTCGTTTATAGTTCTTTCTATTCTGTAAACAGAAGCTTGGCCTAGGTCATTCTCGCCTGTGTATGCCATTCATATTCTCTTATTTTTTTAATATGTGAACGTTCCTATGGAAGTTTTTCGATGGTTTTGTCGGAAAATGACATGTGGTCTCTGGCTGGGCATAGAGTCTAGCGACTTAGTCTTGTCGCTAAATTCGCTAGGGGGGATCTATCAGATTGACTGGGCCAAGATTCAACGTCTTCTAGACTTTCTCGGGTTCGATCACCACTTGAAAGCCAGGCTTGCTGCAAATTGTTTTACAAAATCAAGCTCTTGTTCGCTGTAGTAGCTTCGATAACTGTCGATCGACTCCCAATTGAACCTCATTCAATTTTTATTGGTCAGAGGGAGTTTGGCCATCTCTACCTCTATTTAGAGGAAAGTTTTCATTAGTACTCAATGCTAGTTTACCTAGTAGAAAAAATTTTCTTGAACACTTCTCGCAAGAATCTTTTCTATCATATTTCATTCCAACTTTCTACAAAACATTATGAACTTACCAACAATCTCAATATTCGGCATAATGAAAAAACCCAGCATTCCTCCTTCATTTCCCTCTACCATGGCGCCTTCTACGTCTCACAGTCTCTCTACTCCCCATGTTTCACCATCCTATGATCATGCGATGTATCCAATGCCTCCCCCCAAAAATTCTGCAGGAAGAAAGATGAGTATCCTTAGGGCTGACTCTGGAATCGTCATCAAACCGGAGATAAACAACGCAATTTCAAACCTAGATCAACTCAACAGCTCATCCAGCGCCCTTCAAAAAGAAGACCCAGCCAACATCATCCCTATAGATACTTCTGGGGCCATACCCACCATTGACGTGAATATAACCAACACAATCGCAAAACTCGATCAACTGAGTACTTATCTCCGCACCCTTCTTACACGGGTTCCAGAGACTCCCACAGCTTATCACGATGATTCTACCTCCACTGGCGAGCACTCCCCAGAGGAAGAAATCCCATATACCTCTGCAGGAAAAGAGAGAGAAGAAGACTCCTGTGACACACCTACCCATACCTCTGAAGCCACAATCGCAGAAGACGTGGGCGGCCAAATCTCAAAAGTAGATCAAATCGTCGAGGTACTCAGCACTATCCGTCATATTACCTTTGTCATGTCGTCATGTCTTGACGAAGTTCTTCCCAAAGATCCTATCATTCCAGAAAGTAATATAGAAAAAGGAAAAGGAAAAAAAGAAGAAAAAGATGATGATGATGAAGGAAAAGAAGAACAAACTCCCATCCAATCCACCATCTCCCCGATCTCCCCTCCGCCTCCCATTCTCCCTCTTCTCAATCCGCAGAACACATCGAGCACAGGGCGCTAGGATTCCAATCGGTCGATAAACTCTCACCTGCACGAAAATGGCTTTTTCGACCAATGTCCGACTCTGAACGTCTGCGCCGCAAGATGCATCGTATGAAAAGATGGAAGGGAAAGGAAGAACAAACTCCCATGGCTCCCGGCCTCCTCCCAGTTTCCCCTCCCCCCTCTTCGTCATCCGCAGAAGAAACTCCCCTCCAACCCACCACTCCCATCATCTCATCCAATCTTCCCTCCTCTTCCTCATACGCAGAAGGCCTTCATCGCCGCGCACGAACACGCAATTGGGTCTCCGATCTCCCACCATCGCAGGAACCAAAAAATCCCGGTCTTCCAGCACTCCCCAACTTACAATTTCTGCAACGCAAAATCGATCTTATGAAAAAAGAGTTGGGAGACGAGTTCCCTCTCACTCCCATTTCCAACGTGTTGGATCCCTATTTTTGGACCGTGAGGGATGCGACTAGGCTCGCTCATCTTTTGTCTTCTGGTATGTTTTCCTCCTTTATTTTTAGCGTGGTATATTTAATTACCATGAAATATACACGATACTATACTAACCCAATCCCCTCTCCGCACAGAAAAGAAAAAGACTCCCATCCCCGCGCCCCCGAAAGAAAAACACACAACACATACTTTCTCAACTCCCCCAGAGGACAAGCATCAGCAATTTAGCAGGACCCATACAACGAGCCCTCGATGCCCAGACCCGTGACATCCAAGCCCTGGCTATGCAGACCCGTGAAAAAAAAAGTAATCTGAAAATCCACATGGGCGGCATTATTGAAGGAGGAGAAGAAGGAGAGAAGGAAGAAGGAGATGGAAAAGGAGAGGAGGAGAAAAAACCTAAGAATGTTATTACGCGCATGATGTGGTTTTTGCTCCGGGTCAGTCGTGGAGAGGTGTATTGGAAGATTATTCGTGCGGGGAGAGGGAGATGGAGAGCAGCAGCAGATCTCGCAAACCCACACCACCCAACGCCCCCGCAACCGCAACCCAAACCAAACCCGAAAACAGATATACAAATCCCCCAGCCAGAAACAAAACAGACACAAAATCGGCGGATCAGGAAGAGAAAGAGAAGTGAAAGGGAAAGGAATAAAGAGGGGTGAGAGTAAGGTTGAGGGTGCGGGGTGAGGGTGGAGAATAAGACGGATAGAACTGTTAGAATACAGAATACAGAATACAGAATATAGAGTAGGAGATACAGAATGAGCAGATACAGAATGAGCAGATACAGAATGAGCAGATACAGAATGAAACAGATACAGATAAGATATCCAAGATGGAAGATGAAGAATAATCAAGAGAGTTATATATTAGATTCATTACATTCAACAACAGACAAGTACATTATAATAAGAAGAAGAAGTGCATTCGCATTAGCAAGAATAACTTTAAGAACACGAATAGAAATAGAAATGGAAATGAATATATCAATCAATCAATCAATAACTACCCACTTACTCACTCACTCACTCACTCACCCACTCACCCACTCACCCACTCACCCACTCACCCACTCACCCACTCACTCCTCGATCACCCTCTCCTTTTCATTTCATTTCCTCTATTCTCTATTCTTTATTCTCCACTCCACTCCACTCCACTCCACTCTATTCAATTCTATTCCACACCATCTTCCACCCAAAAAGCGAAACCAAGTATCCCCAGCCCCAGCCATCAATATGATATTTCCAAATCCAAATCCAAATCCAAATCCAAATCCAAATCCAAATCTAAAATCTAAAATCTAAAATCTAAAATCTAAAATCTAAAATCTAAAATCTAAAATCTAAAATCTAAAATCCGAGATTTAAGAGCTAATATATATATATATAAACTGCATTATAACCAAACACACACACACACACACAGAAACAAAAAGTAAGATATAAAATATAACATAAATATCTCATTCATTATTATCTAGGTAATCAAAGAAGTGGTGGTGGATGTAATTCATCTACATCCATCCTTCTTTCATCCCTACTATCCACTTAATCCACCAATTCACCTCCCAGTTTTCTCCCTTTACTTTTTCCCAAAGCCCCATCCATCAAAAGCACGAAACTTTATCTCTAATCAAGATATGTTATTTGTTATCCCAATAAGATGATTGATCCTCCACATATGCTCTTTTCTTCCCATTTAACTGTATCTCTTCTCATCTCCTATCTTATTCATCTCTTTCTCTTCACTCATCCCGCTCCCGTAACTCCGACCCCACCATTCTGCGGCGGTCTCCCTGGTCCCCACCCACTATTAGAATTTCTATATTCCCTCCTATCCCCCCTTTCCCTATCCCCACTCCTCTCCCCACCATGTCCATGTCCATTACCATTTCCCAAATCTGGCGTCCTATTCCTTTCCTCCCTATAAATCTGTGGTGGATGTTGTAATTCTGCCCCTTCACCACCCTGCCACTCTCGATTTGGGTTCATATTCTGATTCCCTTGCCCGCCGATATGCGCATCCTGCACATGTCTCACAGAACTTTCCTTCTGCCAAGCATTATTCGCCGGATCAACATCAACTCTCGTGACCACTGGAGCTAACGGTCTTCCATTCCCATCTCTATGGCCAGTCGCTTCAGTCGTTTCGACCGTGTGTCTTACACCACCGGAAGCACTGATATCGCCATAGCGTTTAAGAATTTCTTTGGTTGTGATATCGGATGTGTTATTGAAGAGGACGGGGTCATTCAGTATGGATTGGAGATCTTCTGGTACCTTTTTATATTGTTAGTCATAGAATAAATGAAGATGCAGGGGGAAAACTTACTTCACACATTTGCTCGTTACACTCAATGAGTGTGTGAACGACCTCGATTGCAAGAAAATTATCATCGACAGGAGATTTAGCATTCGTGTATATGATATTCGGTGCGATGACAGTAGCAAGATTATGAGTATCCATCTTTGATCCGGATTCTTCATCAACTTGATGGAAAGATGCAACCCAGTTGAAGAAGGAACAGAGAATTTCCAAACAGTCCCTGTGTACCTTTGGAAGCAAACAACATGTTAGATGTAATACTCGACGCCTCTTATCTTCATCGGCAATCTTTTGCGATGCGATAAATAAATTGTGGAGCTTGAAGGTCAATAAAGGATCTGGTAAATCTCGAAGATATTTCTTGAGTAGAGCAGCGACTTGTACGACATTTTGTCGACTCAAATCTACAGCATCACACCCTCCGCTATCAATTTCCTTGACGGTTTCATTAAGTTTTCTGATGTTACCATTCTTCCTGAAGACACCCTCAACTGAAAGATCCATCTTTCTCATCGCAGCAATTGCATCATCGACGAGAGCAGGAATCTTGAGAGCTCCAGGACCAACACCATCTGTCGACTCGGCACCATCCTTTTCGACAATAACATCAAGTGGTATCCCGAAGACGCCCTTCTTCTTGACGGCCGTCTTCTTGCCATCATTCTTGAAAGCTTTACCCATCTTACCCCAGAAAGTGGGTTTTCTAGTCTCGATCAGGTTAAGTAGTTCTTCCATAGTAAAGTGACCATCCAGCATGGGTTGCATGGCGATAACTGCAACATGACGTACAATGAAGTATTCCAAAGCGGATAATTCCGAGAAATATTTCTTTCCAGCAACTCTCTGTTGTTGACGTTGGGTTTGTGCATCAAGGTCATTACCGGCAGAAAAAGTCCTTTGATGACCGTTGATGAGTTTAGGTTCAGTGATAGATGTTCGGAAAAGCTCATGACGGGCATGCTTGTATGCATTTGGTCTTTGTTCCTTTGCTTGTTCAGCAGCCACAATTCTAGGAATATCGTCCAGGGTAAGAGCATCTTGATGACCGAACATTAATTCAGTTCTCGATTCGCCGTTACCATCACGGTCTTCCACTACTTGAAACTCGTTGTTTCTCGAACCCGATCCATCAGCCCCTGCAGAACCTGGCCTCTTACTGTCGACACCATCCATTATCCGCGAGGTTCTCGCTTTTTTGATGGTAGAAGACAGATGTTTGTCCATTCGAGTACTTCGTAGTCGCCTTACGTCATTCAAGGTATTTTCGTAGGATGATTCACGTGGATTTTCATCAACTGGACCACCAAATGACTTCGAACGAGCTTCAGACCTCAACATAGGAGGGTCGTCATCCGAGGGTACTTTATGACCCTCACTCGAATTGTAGCCATTGAGGTTGGGGTCATCCGAAGTATGTGGCAGAGTACCTTTGGTACGTAATATTTCCAGCAATCGAGCTAAAGCAACTCTGAGAAGGAAGACATATTGTTGCAACCTCGTCACTCGCACGAATCCTGATACCACGTCCGAAGACTGACTTTGACAATTACAACAGTATACCCGTTGTTCTACATCGTCAAACCTGATGTCCTCGAGGTTCTGAGCAAGATCTCGCTCACAATTAGAGCACTGCAGGCATGCTAAATGACATCTCCTTTCTTCGAAGCGAGCGCATTCATCCTCGATCGGCTTTTGACATTTAATGCATGAATCCGAATTTGGAGCCGAAAGTCCAGGTGTTCCTGTGGTAGCTTCCAACGATCTATCATCATTCTTGATTGCATCCATATCACCCAAGTCATCAAGGAATTGGTGAAGGCCTTCTGGATCCTTTTGATCTCGTTCGACCTTTAATGCGCCTTGAAGACAGATACGAATCAATAATTTCAGGTAGTGCGCCAAACCAGTAACCAAGGCAAGAAGTTCTTGTGTGACGCCAGTTTTCGAAACTCCTGTCTCCTGAGTTTTGGACAGGAGTGAGAAGAATGCTACGATTTTCTTGCATAATAATTTTGCTTCGCGCGAATATGATAGCCCTAACAAGATCAGTAAAAGCAGTGAGGACGTAAATTACTGAAATACTAACCCTTTGAACCATCTCTCATCATTATGCCATCCAATTTATCTGCAGAACAGAAAAGGATATCAACGTGCCATATAAACTTCTTTGCCACCATCACACCATCCATATATGCACCGTTACTAACATGTAAAAGCATGTCGGATATGCAAGCCGCGGAGGACTCTTCGAATGTCGACAGTACACTCCAGATTTTGTAGACCTTTTCTTCCATTCTCTCCTCTTCTAATCGCACATTATTTCGACCTTCCTCGTTCGTCGTATCTTCAGATTCCTGTTGAATTTCTTGTACATCCTGCGGAGATGCCAACCTAACATTCCAGAATTTATGGATCATGTAACATTCAGGGTGCCAATGTTGATTTTGACCGTTTCGAAATATCTCGACGAATTGTTTCAAGATTGCTGTTTGGCATCCATTACATCGTTGCGCGAATCGTGTCGAATAATGGTAGTGGCAGTAAACTTGACCATCGTGCTCGTAATAACTATCTTGTGCGCCGAACACTGTTGGACATACTGAACAAGTGAAATGGTCGATGTGGTATTTGCGCTCGAGGGCGGTGATATATGATCCTCGTAGTGCACCATTACATTGGTGGCATATCAAATCTAAGCGTCGGAAGTAATCAGTCTCGCAGAGGGGGTATTGTCCTTCGCCATTTTCTTCGTCTACCGGAAAGAACTTTGATGCGACTATTTGACCGCAATCCTACAAGACCCAAGTCAGAAACTGAACGCCTTTGGATGATGGCGAAATGGGATTGACTTACTCGGCATCTAAAACAATCCAAATGGAATGTACCTCCAAGCGCACGTACGAATTGACCTGTCAAAGGTTCACCGCACTTTTTACA